GATTTTCTGCTGTTCCTTTTAGATACATTGAAGTGTTTACCATAGATGGCACTCATTATTTATAGAGTTTTCTCATCCGCAAAGGTTGCAAATAACTTAATGTTATTTTCCAAACGATTCAAACGAAAAGATAGTCCAAAAAGAAGAAACTGTGTAGGAGCATTGTGCGATTTATGTCCTGGACGATTTGATTGAATCTCAACTGATGCCTAAAGTAGACAGCTGCAATGTTCACATGAGTTGAAATGCAGCACAATCGTTCGGGACATAAATCCCATTGTTCAACTAGCTTCTCTTAAAAAGAAGGGTCAAAGTGAAAGGAAAGCATGTATTTATTGAACTTAAATTGAAAGCGTGCCATTTCCCACTAAATTCTGAGCGAAATATCCAACCATCGTCGAAAAGTATTATTCGCACGGAATGGTTAACTTTAACCACAAAAACATGCCAAAGTAGCAGAAGAGTGTTGACCGCATCACAATAGTGAGAAAAGCCAGGAAACGAAATGAATGTTTGCATGGAAATTTAAACGCACCGACAGGTTGCAACCGCCTTCGCCGCATTCATAATCCAGGCCGATGCCATCTGATCTCACCCAACTGGCCAAATGTGAGGCTTCTAGAGCCGCCCATAGACGTTCCTCTGGCTCAAAACCAAAGGGATCCAAATTGAAGCGCAGCGTACCCGCGAACAAAACAGGTTCCTTCAAAAAGGGTTAGAGTAGTTTCATAAGTCGAGAAGAGATGAAAATGTCTCAATGTCGCTTGGAAAAAATTTGAACGCTAAGCAAGCTTTTTGAATATGTGATTCACCGAAGATCCCTATTCAAATGAAATTAATGAGTTTCCCATGATATATGAGTGATTATAGGGGGAAAAGTTGCTGCAGGAGTTAAATTACCTACTGATAAAGATAAATGGACGTCGAGCGCCTGCTTGTTGAAACGTCCCCTTCTAAGATATATGTTCTGTTTTTATCCAATATGAGTATCAACTTTACAGACTGGAAAATGGCGGGTTAATTGATTTCTTAGGTACTGCGATCTGCAGACACACTTTCTTGTGATGAACAACAGACGGGGAAAGCCCTATAGTCACGAGGACCTGCTGTTCAGTGATAGAAACAGGTAACCTTATCACCGGAACTTGGAGTGACGAACCGCATAAGGCCCCGATACGTTAGGTGTGGTACTGAATCGGACGAAAGCAAAGCTGTCTACCACCAAAGTTGGGTGGCGGTGGCGGGGCTCGAACCTCGGACCATAGGGTCCAAAGCACGCCTGTGATAGCAAATAAATTACTGCGCCACCACCAGCCAAATAGCATGAAACGACGACGGTCGAGTGATTAGGTCATGGAAATCGTCACCTGGGGGATCCCGAGTTGTGTTCCAGTCATCTCCGCCCATATTCCGCATAATCTGTATTTCCCCAGGGAGCCTTTGTGTGTCCCCACCTCTGTAATTTTATGGTGCATTTCTGTAATCAATAAAAAAAGAACTAAATGCATTTAATATTAAATTAAGGGGTGCCCACTAAACCAGTCAAATGCATGCACTAAGTTTGGATAAGTACGTTGGGCAACAAATATGCTTGAGAAGCAAGGACAGGTATATCTTCTAGTAGGAGAACACGAAATCCTTGACTGATAATCAATGAAGAAGATTCTGAATAGCTCCTGAGCTGCAGTTCGGTACATTATCACACACGATATGTGATCTTGTACACTTTAGTCACCAGGCGGGATATATTCGGATAAGTTCCTGGTACATCCAGTTCAACTTTACAGTTCAATCACACTGAAAATGCAGATAGAAGCCAAAGATGATAAGCTGATGGATATCCACCACTACGGCATGCTCGTTCATCTAGAGAAAATTTGATGATCGAGGAGTGCTCTATAAACATTTATTCAGCAGGAACTATGCCATCGTTTTTGTGAATATTATAATGTTATTAAAACAGCGATATCGGTAGAGAATTGTCTTTTATTCACAAAAATGCATACCTGAGGGAGAATACTGAATCGAGACCGCAGTTCATGCAATCCAATCCGAGCCAGATCGACACCATCTACAATCACAGGCCCAAGATTGGCCAACGATCCCGAAAGTGTAGCTCGATCTTCTTCCAAAATGATTGCCTCGTTTAGACGAAAAATGGATGAAGCCAATGACGACTTCCCAGCTCCGGTTCGACCAACAATGCCTATTCGACGACTATTTCGGGTCCCACTTAAGATCAAATCCACAGACCGAAGAGCCGGTTCATCTGAACCCAGGAAATGGTTAGGAGTCTCGACACTAGTGTTATCCTTCTCCGGTCCTGGTAGGGTGTATAGTATGGATGCGCGATTGAATCGTACCTCGCAGCAAGGAGCTGGCCAGTCAGGCGGCGGTGGACTGTCTGGACCGCACTCCCAGTTTCCTTCTTGATCAACCTGAACGGTAAACGAAGAGTGAGCGATGGCTATCAGATAACTAATGACAGCATACAGAATGAAAGTAAAGCGAATCGAAGTGAATGACGTTTTTATGATGCAAATGTACAGGGAACTAAATCACATACTGGATTCAGGGTAAGTAGGGTAGAACAAACAAAATTGTTGTTCAGCAGTGCAGCAGGGACCATATTTTAGGAGAATAATTTGCCATCTACTTTGTGTTCACTGAGTTGTAGTTATTTTCTAAGTCTGAAGTTGAAATATGAGGAAGTTTATGAAATGTATGTACAATGAACCCTGCACAAAGCCGTCAGGGTATCTTCAAAAAAGGTTGAAAGTTATGCATCAGCGATAGAATCAAATATGAAGCATGATAAAGTTCCATTGGCGACTATGAGCGTAATGAACTATTGGAATCAAATCAAATGGTCAAAGAATGAATATAAGGCTGTCTTTCATGAGGGTTTTGGCTAAATACCAAAATGTAGATATCATGCAACCAAACAAGCAAGCGAAAACTCAGTCAGTCACAGTTCTTTAAAGTGCAGTGAGACTGTCCGACAGGTAATAACCCTTCTAACGCTATGGAAATGCTACAGTTTCTTCATGTAAAGCGACAACAAAGCACGAACTAAAGGCCGGAAGCAGTGCACAGCTAGATTAAGCTATTTGGATTTCATAAACAATGCGAGTCTATCAATCCCACTGAGGATTGAACCCAGGACCTCAACGATCAGCTGAGTAAACCGTTTGCATCTTGTTTATACTCAATAATACAGCACAACCTATCTTCACAACTCGGTGTGGGTATCTCAATCTGCAATAACCACGTAAAAACAGCTGAGCCGTGTTTCTTAACTTTTCAATTCACACAAAGAAAATTTATATATCATCGACTCAAACTATCCACTACTCTCATGTAGCTGTGGGAGTAAGTTGGCACTATGACCAAAGGCTCAGCACTTGAGAAAAGCTCATGCATTGGTTGTTGAATGTGCTGCATGTGCTTCTCAGAAGAAATGTCGTTAGATGCATGCATATTCTGATCGCTTGTTCCATCTCTCAATTTTTACATTCCATTTGATTTCATTACTTCTTCGTAATCATCGTACGGTGTGGTGCAGTGAGGCGAACTACACTGATCGCTGCCACACTCATAATATGTGCGAGATAGGCGAGAAGGTCTGAGGTGGACAGGGATTGGGCCTATTTTTAGGGGTGGGAAAAGAAAGCGAACTTGTATAGTCAACATAGAGAGAGCACAGTCCAACTGGGCATACACACGTTTGCAAGCATTCTGGTCTGAGAAGGTGACATTGTAGTGACCATGATTGTACGAAGAAAAGGAGCAATCCACGAGGACGTTTTCCGTTC